TAGTACTAACTATCCTAGATTCTGCCAAAGTCTCACTGTCGTAATCGGATAAAAATCAACATTGAAACAGAAGAGCCGAGAAAAAACTTGCTTCATCACCTCACATTGTCGATGTTAGCATATGTACCTTCCAAACTTCGATTGAATAAGTTGGCAATTCAAAGGAACAGAGAATACACAAAGATTTTAAAGTCCTATCAAAGATCTCCGCTTGTGCTTATGAGGGTATCTTGCATAATTTGCAATGTCAGATTCATTAAATCATTTTTCTTTTTTAGGTCGTAGGGTTCCCAAAACTTCGCTTTTCGAGAATGAAGAACACAAGCTAGAGATGAAAAGTGATGAGTTTGCGAAAAGATTGATGAGATATTCGGCAAAGGCAGATCTGAGAACAAATGTCAAGTGCAAGTCAAAAAACAAAACTGCAGGATTTTTGCATATATTGCTCGGAATTTCCTTTAAAATTGGAAGCTTATCTTTGGTCAACTTAGAATTTCGTTGCCAAATTTAAAAACATACAAATTATGTCAGAGTTTAGTCATCTACTCTTACCCTCTTTCTCAAACATTCCATATAGGCCCACTATATTAGCACCATAAAATAAAATATGCAACTTTTGAATGAACAGAATACTTTTTTGTTTGAAATAAAAGAATAAAAAATCTGTTGCCCAGCTTTTCAGTAGCATACAGCACGTCTATATCACAACAAGGCTTTCATTTTCTCGGAGCTGAAAAAGCCCCAAAAAGAATATTTAGAGCTCTGGATCAGTTCGGAGCAAGTCCATTAAATTAGCTAACAACAAAGTTTAAAAATGCTAAATGTTTTTCTCTTGATAACTCTGATAATCAACATTCCAGCTTGTCTGTTCATTTTTGTCCTTAACGATTTCGCTATGTGAATTTACTCTTGCTATATACGAGTATTCGCTTTCAAGAGGAGGAAATATTATAGCGGCAATATTTACATGTATGTTTTGAACAGCCCTTTCCTACTTGTATGTACCATAAATTTTTCCTTACAGGTGTATTTTCATTTCACGGGTGCATCACACTTCTATATTTTGTTGGAGTGCTTAAACGAAATCCTTGCTTTCAAGTGCCATTCCTTACCTTACAGGTATGTAAAACTCCACTTACATTTTTGAAATCTTCAAATATTTTTTTTATTTCGACTATGTAGACTACAGGTCTTATTTTGCTGGCTATGAGAAGGCGTTTTAACTTTGCAAAAGAAGTACGTAGCTCTTAACAGAATCATCCGAGAAACATTCTTAAATGCATCTCTTATAACTCAAACGGTTACTTTGCTTTCTAGCTGAGATTCCCTTTAATGACTAAGAATTTTGTTCGCACCTTTAGTCACTCAAAGCTGAGAAGTTATATACTAAATGTGCTTTTCTTTCCAATCGCTAAATTGCTGC